TGGCGGAAGAGGCCTCGCGCGCAGCGAAAAAACGGAGCCAGCAGAAGTACTGAGCGCGGGGTCGCGGCCGAGTCCTCAAGAATCGCTTTGAATTCAGCATCACCTACTGCCATACAGCACATCCGGGCGGTGATGGCAGCAACGTGACACGCCAGCCGAAGGCCCTATTCGACGCGGCGGCATGAGCAGAAGGAGGTGCACCATACAAGACACCCAGGCGTGGATGGCAGTGATGTCACTCGCCAAACGAGCGCCCCGCCCGACGCGGCAACAGGAGGGCGGAGGTGCGCAGTGAGCACATCCGGGCGTGGATGGCAGAAAGGGGGCGCGCCGCTGCAGTGCAAAATGAGGCGTCGAAGAACGCGCGGACCAAAGAGGGCGAAAGTGAAGCACCCGTACGAACATGCGAAGTGCAGTCTGGAGCCCTGTGGCCAACGGAGGAAAGCGGCGCGGAGCCAAAGGGAGAGGCGCGAGGCCGAGAAGAGGCGGCGATGAGAGCAGAGCTCGGAGAGCAAAAAGAAACGCCGGCGCTGAAGCCCACACGCATACACACACACACACACACACACACATGTTTTGGCATCGCGGCCACGCGCGCGGCGGCGCGGCGAAGACAGTCGAGGGGAGAGCGCGCGCGGCCGGGCCAGCCCACGCAGCGGGGGGGGCCGGGATCACACGCACACTCTTTGTTGGCGGTCGCGGCCTCGCGCGCGGCGACGAGGCGGAGCAAGGCACACACTTTTTAAGTCAGCGGCGCAGAGGGTCCTCAAGCGCGGGCGGCAGATGGAAGTGCGAATTGCGACCGAGCGCTGTCGAAGGAGCAGCGTACAAAGCGTCGCCCACTGCAATATGCAAGCGTTGGGTGTGTTAGAGGCCCTGCAAGCCCAAACGAAACATGCAGCGGCCAGAAAACGAGGAGAATACTCAACTCAGAATGAACTTAACTGAAGCGTGACAGCGAGGGGCTGATTGGCGGCCGCTGAATCACCTGAGCGGTTAGACAGTGGCACGCAAGAAATGCTGCGAGGCAGATTGCTAGGCCGATCCTGCGGTGCTACGAGGCAAATTGGTAAGTGTTGACCTACACACTCTACACACAAGCAACGCAAAGCGACCGCGATGATGGGTGCAGAAGGGCCAACGACGCGCGGCAACACCAGCCACCCTGTACCCGAATGAGAAGCTGCGTCAACGGACGCGCCAAATGCTTCATGCACCGGAAATGAAGCGCAAGGAAAGCAAGCCTGGCACGCACAACGTGCCAGCTAACATGGCCACTGTCACATCACAGTTCCTATAAGGACTGACAGACGTGAACAAGGTCAATCCACCGCGCCACTGCGAGGGCAAACAAGCGCGGCGAGTTGGCCATCAAGCCAGACAACCGCCGCCAGTATCCAAAAAAATGAAGGAGGAGGAGACGCAGAGAAAAAAAAAACAAAGGCGCGAGGAGACGCGCTGTCGTGCCACCGCGACAGGGCGGCCATGGGCGACGTTTCAGCCCACGGCGCACGCACTGCGACTACCCGCCAAAATAACCAGGCACCCAAGGCAGCCACCAAAAAATGCCGCATCTGCAACAGCACCGCCGCCCTCCAACCGGCGAGCCCCCCAGGGGCGCAGCATCCCCGCGCCCGCCAGGCACTGACCCCCTTGCCCAGGCCCCCCGCAGCGCGGCCAGCCAGAGGGCCCAAAAAAAGAACGGGGGCCATAGCCTTCCGCGGCGCAGCAGCGAAGTGGCCCCGCCGTCGTCGCCGCTCAACGGCAACCTCTCGGCTCGGCGGGGGGGGGGCCCGGGGACGGCGGCGGCGCCGCGCGGAGCACCGAGCGAAACGAGCGGCGCCGACTGAGGCGGCAAAGTCGCGAGAAGGCGCCGAACGCGCCTGGCAACAGCGCGGGCTTCCCGCAAGCCACCCAAGGCGGGGCACCCAACGAAAAGCATCTACGGCAGCTAAGCCGCATGAGTAGAAAACAAAGGCATAAGCGTCTGGAGACCGAGGGAACCACCGACGCTACCGCGGATAAAATAGGATGAAAGCGGAGAAGCGAAGACAGCGCGAGGAGACGCGAGGTCGTGCCACACGGCACGACAGAAAAGGGGTCGGACAGCCGACAGAGCCACCGCATGCTCTGCCAAACGCAGAAACCCCAGCAGCTGGGCACAATACAGCTGGCGAGATCTCAGCGAGGCCGAGATGACGGCGCGAGGCCGCTGAAGGCGGCAACTTCGGCAAAGGCACCGGACGCACCCGGTGACGCGCGGGGCGCGCCACGTGTCACGAGGACGGGGCGCAACCAGAAGGCAGGCACTGAAGGCGGCTAAGCCGCATGAGTGTTGCGCAACAAGTATTGGCAGCGTTTTCGCTGGGCAAAAGATCCAGCGGCTCCCAACTAGAACATGCACAAGCGTCTCCAAGCGAAAGGCGAGAGCGGGAGACGGGCCGGGAGCGCGAGCAGAGACATCGACGTCGGGGCGGGGGAGCCGTCGACGGCCGACTCCACAGCCCGAGCGACTGTGCACGGGCAGGTTGAGGTCCTCAGAACACAAACCTCTCCCAGGATGGGCGCGGGCAACGCCGAGGCCCCGGAGGGAACTCGTGCACCCCGACCATGGCACGACGTCGCCTCCGCACTCTCTGTCGGCCTCGCCTCCCCGTGCTGGAAGGATATTGAACGGTCTGTAGATGGGTGGAGCTGGCGCAGCTGCAAGGACTTCCGATGCCCTGTAGTGGGCTGCCGTCCTGCAGCTCATCGGCAGGGTCGCTTCCTCGGCAAGTCGAAGCACCCGTCGCTGGTACCTCTGACCTGCCCGTATCCTGGTGAATTGCGCTCGCCCTTGGTCGTCCCTTGGTGATTCAGAGGCTTGTCGACCCAGGCTGAGCCCAAGGACCTCTGGGAGCGCCAGGAAGAGGTGCGGCCCTTGACGAGGGCGCACACCCTGATAGTGTGGCCAAACCAGAAGGGACGGCAGGATACAAAGCTGCGGTCGACAGCTTCTGGTGTCCAGCACGACTCTTTCTACCTCCTCCTGCACCTGGCATTAGGCCTCCATAGGATGCTCTTCACAAAGCGTCTGCAATGTCGGGTGCCGCACACGTAGCGCCCGCATAGCACGGACCCCACCTGCGGTAGCATCCACATACAACTGAAGCATACGCTTAGTATCCGCGTACTCTTGGATGTATTCCCAGATTCCTGAAGTTGTGTGCCATCGGGCACGCATGGTAGGGCTCCCTTAGTTTACTGGGCACCGTGCCGCTCCTGTCACAGGGACATGAACCATGGGAGACATAGGCCGAGGTTTCCGCCGTCGTAGTAGGGATGGCGCGCCGCACCGCACCTACGTCCGCTCCATTGCTCCTGACATTGGGTCTGTTCCTGCACAGTACGTCCGTGGCAGATCCAACAGTCCCACGCAAGTGCCATCTCGCCTCCTTCCGAAACACACGTGCAAGCCCATCCCTCGCCATTGGTGGGGCATCCTCGTAGCGTGTGTGGATGCAGGTGGTGACATTATGCACATCGCTGACACCCGTGTCAAGCGCCCCCCCCCAATACGCCTGTCAGCATTCTGGGGCACAGCCTCAGACCATGCAGGATCAACCCTGTACTCAAACCTGATGTTTGTCTCCCACAAAGGCCACATTCGAAAATATGTTGCCGCACTTCGTGAATCAGGTTGGTAGGGAAAGGCTCCTGGGGTAAAAGCTCGGCCTCTTGTCCAGATTCACTCTCGGGACGGCCATCCATCTGTAGAGAAGAAGCAGCAGATAACGCAGCGGGTCCTTCATCACCTTAGCCATCTTCAGCCTAGGAGACCGAACTGCCCCTACCACGCTTCACTACCTCTTTGTCTTCCTCGATGCCGCGATCACAGGATCGGCGGGAGGTGAAAAGCTAATTCTTGGCTGGGCAACCACCTGAGGGAGCTAATGTGGGTACTGAAGCGCTGGCCCTTGAGCCCTGACCCCAGGGGGAGGGGCACCCCCGGGATACGGCTTGAGCCAAAACGGTTACGGAGCAAGACACACACACACACACACACACACACACACACACACACACACACTTTTTGGCGGTGGCGGTCTCGCACGCGGCGGCGAGGCAGAGAAAGTCAACAGACGGTGCGCTCGGCGGCTGGGCTCTCAATCATCACCTAGGATGCGGTCCTACTGACATCAGCCATCTAGGCGTGGATGCCGGGGAGGGTACACGCAATACCGTGGGTGATGCCCCCAAGGCAGCATGGAGCAAGGAGAACGGCAACAGCCATCCGGGCGTGGTTAGCAGGGAGGGTACACGCTGTACCGCGGGGTGGGCCCACACAGCAGCACGAGAAAAGAATGACGGAAGCACGGACCGAGAGGCAGCCCCCACGGCGGGCGCAAGGAAACGAGGAAAGAAGGCTCAGCGAACCCAAGCAAAGTGCACTGCGCGCCAAAGGGCGATGGCAAGGGCAGGTGCAATGCACACACACACACACACACACACACACAAACACAATAGCAACGACGAATAACTTATCCTGGCAAAAGACCCAAAGATCTGCAGCTGTGAGTACCGCATTGTGGGTACCGCTCTCGGTGGAGCTCCCTATGGGGCCGCGGTACCCGCGAGGGGTGTGCCGAAATTGGCGGGGGGACGCATGCAAACCCTGCCGTTGGGGCCTTCGGTGGAGTTCCCTATCGGGCCACGATCCTCGTGAGGGGTGTGCCAGAATAAGCGGGGGGACGCATGCAAACCCTGGCGCTGGGGCCTTCGGTGGAGCTCCCTATGGGGCCACGATCCTCGTGGGGGGTGTGCCGAAATGGGCGGAGGGGACGCATGCAAACCCTCCCGCTGGGGCCTTCGGTGCCGACATGGTGGACATGCGGCGAGGGGAAGCAAGAATGGGAGGAGGGAGGAGCGGGAGGAGGTGAGACGCGCGGCGCTGTCACTTCAGAGCGAAGACCCAACACCACAGGATAGATGGGAAAAACTTGAGCCCGCAAGCCGACGTCCTGGAGGGCCATCCGTACGGTGGCGCTGAAAGCCTCGGGCAGCCCCTTGGAGGTACGGCTCAGGAGGAGCCGCGCAACCTGCGGCCAGGGCGGGAGCCAGGAAGAAGGCGGCGCCGAGGAGTTCCTCGTCGTTGTCGTCGTCCTCGTCGTCGTCGTCGTCGTCGTCGTCGCCGTCGTCGTCCCCTTCGCCTCGTGGGCACACAACAGGCAAGCCTGACCTGCATCGAACCGCGAAATCCGCCGACACCCGCTTGCTGGAGATGAGGCAGGGATGATTGGCTGTCACCCATCCCATCCCTCAGGGTCAAAAATGCCGTTTGAGTTATGGGGGTGCACGAGGTCTCTGGCACACCTCGGGGGCCCCCCAGAAGCTCTCAATCAACCACTCGCGGGCGACAAGATGCCCAAGGTGATTTCAAGATGCCTCCTCGAGGCTCCAACACACCCAAGATAGCTTCAAGACGACCCAAGACGCCGAAAGAGGGCCCCAAGAAGACCCCCAAGAGGGCCTCAAGAGGAAGCAAGTACTGTTGCCCCAAAGGTGTTTGGATGAGTTTCGCGTTCTCGCTTGCGCGGGCGCGAGTAAGCTCAACACGGCGCGACGGCCCCCCCAGACTGCCCCAAGACGGCCAGGATGCCCCTCTGCCACCGTGCCTCTGGCACGAGGTGGACTGGCCCAAAGCTCACACGTGTGCTGCTTCTGCAACGGAACAGAACGGAAACCAGCGCAAAGCTCCCTGAAGGAGCTGCCGCGAGGGCCGGGGCCCGCTCACGTTTTGATGCAATGGTCCACCTTACTTGGCAACCTGTACCCATCGTCGTAACCGATGGTGGTCAGCACAGTTGTTTGACATCGTCCACCCACGGGGTCTTAAAGCGCCCTGGTTTCTCCAGGCTGGCGCGCAGCTCAGAATTTGAGTCGGCCATTTTGATGCCTTCACAAAAAAGACTGCTCGCGTCCATCCCCGCTTGCCCCGCCTGTAAATCGTGGCCCAACAATCCACTTCATGTTCGCGCATTCGTCGCACTGCCTCGTGGAAGGCGCGTTTGATCCATTCCGGCCAAGGCTCCAATAAAGCGTCGGCCTCGGTGATCTCGTCGCCCTGGTTGGGACGCGGAACGACACGGGCATTTGAGCTGGGCAATAATTGTCGCCTCGGCAAACGCACGATCATACAGATCATCCGGCGCTGGATCTTGTCCAACGCATTTTGCATATCACGTGCAAGTGCCCAACGTTCGCCCCCGCAAAACACAGCGGGTGTAATCGTGCCACTCAACAGCCAGACTCGGTCACGTAAGGAATATGATTTGTCTGTAGTATATTCGTCCTGCTGGGATGCAAATGCGAGCCGATGCGCGGCGTTTGTTCCCCGGGGTCGGATAGTATGCTCGCGGTGTGATCACAGGACGACTATACAAAAAGTATGCCATCAACGAAACGTACATTTGACAATTTGGATCGCGCATGAAGATCAGCTGATACGTCAATGTTGCGTTTGTCCCAACGGCAGGTCAGCGAACGCATCAGATGCTCTGCGACGCCGTTGAAAAAAAGAGCGGAAAGATTCCCCTTGTTCCACGCCACGCTGCAAAGAAAAATGTTCGCTTGCGCCGTCAGTGCGCATTGCTCCCGTCTGTTTGGAGCGCAGCTTCTGCTGGAGACGCACATGAACGGTCGTTGGACTCTTAGGCCTGCAAGTGCCACCCAAATGATCTCGCGCGCGACGCTGTCAAACGCCTTTGCGAAGCCGATTGTCGCCACCCACAGAGGTAACTGCCATTCGCCAGCGCGAAAAGCTGGTGGGCGGTGCTCCGACCCGGGCGAAAGCCTGCTTGATCGGCGCTTTGGTTCGCGTCGAAGACATTGCGTAGCCTGCTATACATGAGTCGTGAGAACAATTTGCATAGTTGCGGAATTGCGGCAATCGGCCGGTAATTTTCCAGAAACTGTGGAGCCCCACTCTCGAATGGAATTTGGATGTCCGCGCGCGACCACGCTGCTGGCACAAGAACGCCCGGCTGCAACATGGCGCCACAGAGCGCCAGTAGACCGGGATCTCCTGCCTTGAACATCTCGGCGCCGATGCCGCTGGTGTCGGGCGCCTTCTTCTCCTTGAGCTGTCGGAGTGTTTTGTGCACTTCATTGTCGGCACATGGAAGGACGCATTCGGCCTCGGGGGCTTCTCGGTCGGAGCAAGCGCGGCTATCCTTCGCGGCACTCCGAAAAAAATGGCTGTAGAATTCGGCGGACACGTCGGCAGTGGACTGTCGGTTGTGGACCGGGCCCCTACTGCTGTCGCTCACGCTGAAAATGCAGCCCTTTCTATTTCAACTGTTTGAACGCGCCAACGCGGTCCAAATTGCTAAATTGACCAAATATGTCGTCGATGTTTGCACTCTGGGTTGCTCTTATGATCTCCCTTAATTCTCGTCGGATCCGCTTCGATTGCAGCGAGCGCGATGCGAGGTCGCTGGTCGGTATATCCCGACGCTGGGTCACAAGAACTGCATGGCAACAGCGTTGTATGTTGCGTTGGCCCGCGCGTCCGCGGGCGGTTGGCGAACCGTCGAAGTATCCTGGAGAGCCTCTTCGATCGCTTCACATGTAAATTGAAGATGTTCTGCGGCGCGGAATACGTCGAATTTGTCGGTCAGCGTCTGCTCGCAGCTGGAAAAATCCGCTGGTGGCCAAGCGAATGGTGACGTTTTCCGTTTCCGGCCAGGCCGCGTCGACTGCGTTCTCGCGGCGTGCATGCCCGGCATGTCGCTGCAGATCGCAGGAGCACGGTGGTCAGATCCCATGTTCGGTTACAGCATATGCACTCGATTTGTCTTGGGATCTCGACTGAACAGATGATCGCAGGCCGCAATTGAGGTTGCGTCTTGGAAAAAAGTACTGGCGAACACCGGCTTGTTGGTCGCTGCCAAATTATTTAACAACTGTCCGCTGGGGCTCGCCCCTGGAATTCCCCAATCCAATTGATCGCCTGTCGTCGTCGTCGGTCCGCCCCCCTGCCACGGCTTTGCAGTCGGCGCATAGCACGAACACACATCCGCCACATGCTTGCAGCGTCGAGGCCACAGCACAGCACATCGCATGCATCCTACGCGCGTTTGCCCCCGCATCCTGCGCGGGGGAAATGCGCCGTAGCACTCGCATGTTGAAATATGTTCCAAGAATGTCGACGTCGGCAGCGCGCCCCTGGATAGGTTTGCGCACAAAGATTGCAACACCCCGACGTGGCTTAGTGCATCCAGCTCCTAGAAAAGCGGGCCCGCCAGGCATTGTCCAGAATTCTTATTTAGTCTCCCTTCTTGTTTCGTGGATGGCAATGGCATCCCAGTGAAGACTATGCGAGTCGCACAGAAGTTCCACCACTTGGTCGTTGGTGGCCAGTCCTCTGGCATTCAGGTGAATCGCTATAATTTGTCTGGCGCCGGTTGGTCGGCATCGGCCTGCCGAAGATAGCGACCGCATCTGGTCCGCGTGATTCCCAATGGCTCTCTCGAAGATTATCGATTGAGCATCGCGGAAGTCAAACTGGTGAATTTGACAACTGCGAACCAGTATTGAGCTTGGAGATGAGTACTGGGTTAGAGCTGGAGTCGGGGGTCGGAGTCGCGCCAAGACAACGTGCTCCGCGACGCCGGAGTCGGAGGCGGGAGTCGAAGTCGGATGCCGGAGAACCTCGTCGGAGCCCGACTCGGAAGCCTAAGAAAATGTCCACACAACATGTTTGTCGTCGCCGGCATCGGTCTGATCAACCTGCCGGGGGCCAAATGGGGCAAATCTCAAAGAAAGGGGTACGTCTCCAGGGCTGTTCGACAATTTCCCTCTGCTGCCACCTTCAGCACGCGCTGTTGGACATGCCACTGCTGCACTTCCTGCCGAGGTCCTCTTCTCTCCATTTACGTCTGAAGCAAAATTCAAGGATCCAGCGTTGGAGGAACTGCAGCGGCCCTGATGTCGGGAGTGGGACACTCGACAAAAAAAGGGGGGCAGGAATCGAATGAGGGGCGCGGTCGGCCAGGGTTGGCAAGACAGCTAATGGTGAGATTGGTGGCAGGAGGTGGAAGTTGGAGTCCGTGCCAGGGTCGAAGGACGGAGTCGATGTGTAGGCGACCTCCTCGCTGTCGTCAGATACGCGTGTCCTGAAGTGACGACAATCCTGGGAACCAAAATGAAACACGTCGGAAGCCAAGTCGGACATCCCCGTAAACATTTGCGCATTTTCCTCCGCCACCTCCCATGTCACGACCTGTTTCGGAAACTGCTGATCCAGGGTGAATTGACCGTGCGGGGCCCGATGTCAAGCTTGTACTGGTACAACTGCTGTTGGTTATCACGCGAGTGCCGTCGTGACGTCGGTGGCAGGCTCAAGGCTGATCTTCTTGTGCCACTTCTGCATTGCTTCCTCCCCCTGCTCCTCAACCACCTCTCGTGTTGCAGTCACATGCCATGTCCCCTGGTCCCCCGATAGTACCATGCAACCTTCCTCTCCTTCCCCAAGCCGTCCCTGATCACTACCATGCTCTTTCCCCAAAGGGTCCTGGTCCCACGTTGCGAGTGATCTGGACGTTCATCGAGATAACGCTTAGTGTAGCCAAGCCTCTTGCCTCTGTGCAACGCGTCTTGGGCCTTTTTACAAAACTCGACTTTTGCCAGAACGCTTTGAAAGCCCCATTATTATTGTATTCGACCCTGCTGCCACCGTCGCAGGCGCACCATCTCCCAAAAGTTGCTGAAGTAATTTCTCGAGGCGGTCCACTACTGCTGCTGCTGATTCTGAATTTTCTGCAAAACCGACCGCAATTACCTGCTTGCGGACGTCCTCGTTCCCCATCTCTCCATGTTTGTCCCCCCCTTCCGTCTTGAATCGATGCGTATGTGTGGTGTGCTTGATCTTGTCCACATCGTGCCCACCACTGCCTGTAGGCTGGTCTTTGCCACATACAATTAATCCAGCTCGTGTCGCAATGCCCCCACCTCCCTCTCCGTTTCTTACATGTTGTCCTGCATCTCTGTTAAGTTGTTCTTCACATCCTTCCCCTTTTCCTAGAGTCTCTCAATATTGTCCTCCATCTTGTTTAATGCACGGCTGAATTGGTCGAACTGTTAATCCTGCCGTTTTCGTACTCCTGGAACCAAGGTGGGGCTGCACTCATCATCGCATTATCCGTCTCCCTCTCTTTCTCCTGCTCTGCTCCGCTGGAAGCCGCTTCGAGGATCTCAAGTAAGTTGGTGTTCGCCCTGCGCAGGGCGGGCGTGGAGCGCGTTGCGCCACAATTGCGCTTAGATGCCATCGGAGCCCAGGCAGACGTGTGGTACGAGTGGGAAGGAAGGAGTACTGGGAAATTGGTGTGAGAAAAGTGGAATTGATTACCTGTACCTTGAGCCAGAAGGAGCAGCTGCTTCTGCAGCCAGAATTCTGATTTCTTGGGGGGGCACGGACCCCCAAATTTCCCAGGCGCTCCCCCTGAGCCCCCTGTGGACGCAGTGCCACCCCCAAAGCGAACTCCAGAACCCTCCCATGTGTCCAAGAGGGCTTCGAGTCGCCGAAACATCGCCCCAGGACGCCCAAGATGGACTCAAGATTCCCCAAGAGGCCTCCAAGACGCCCCAAGAGGCCTCCGAGCCTCCCAGGAGGGCCCCAAGAGGCAAACGGGCGACGCCAGAAAGCTTCACTATGGTGCCGCGCATGCAGCTAATTGCGAGGCACGATCCGCGCGAGGGGCGTGCCACTATGCGGCCTTGGCTCCGAGGACGTAGGTGGAGCTCCCTGTGGGGCGCAATCCCTGTGAGGGGTCGCGCCAATAAGGACGGGAGAACGCTAGCCAAGCCTGTCTCTGGGGCCGCAGGTGGAGCTCCCTGAGGGCATGAGCCCTGCGACAATCAATCTCCAATACCGCTTTAGACTACAACTAAAGCTTTCTATAATCTGAGCACAGGCGAAGCGCGCGCGTGGTTCTAGTGTACATGTATACATATATATATAGAGAGAGAGAGGTGGTAGTACATAGTGCATCGTTATATAAACATGCGCGTACACGTATACGCATACATGTAGACTTACGTGTTAATGCACCTAGGCCCGTGCACATGTAAGTGCGCGTGTGTATATTATAGTGTGTAAATATATATATATGTATATGTGTGTGACCATCTACATATACATATATATATGCACATACGTATATGTATACATATACAGTGCATCTACATATACACCGACATCGACAAATACCTATACATAGACCTATATATACATATATGTTTATACACCTACACAGGCGCATGCACATGCACATGAACATACCTATATATATGTATACATATATATAGATGTGTGTGCGCACGTATGCAAACATAAATACATATAGTTGCACATGTTGGTATGCATGTGCATCTACAGGAACATACGCATAAACGCATACCTATACACATGCACACGCCTAGGCATATACATTATATATCTGAATATAAACATACATCTATACATGTATGCATAAACCTAAACGTATCCGTACACGTGTACATTTACAAAAAAAACACGCATCATAGATGTCGATGTACGAATTAAAGTTTACATACAAATACACAGACTCATGCACATGCATATACAAATTCAGCTATCGTCACAAGTACATATACATATACATATACAAACACATATATATAAGCATGTACATATACACATACATTTACGTGCACACGTGTATGCACAAATACCTATGCATAGACATATACATAAACTGATGCGCAAACAGTCTATAACAACATGTATGGGGGCATGAACGTATATACATATATATATATATATATGAATGCATGTGCACTTGTACAGCTATCCAAACCCATATATATATATATATATGCACATACATGTACACATACATTAAAAACATAGTCTCATATGTGTATAATAACATACATGTACATATACATATGAATGTACCTATACATACAAAGGTATATGCATATGTAAATATGTACAAGCATATACAGAAACAAATACCTAAAACACATATACATACGCATAGACACGTATACCTATAAATACATATATACTCCAAGCGGAGGGCGATCCCAGGTTGAGAGTCGAATCGTGAAGAGCCGCAGGGTAACCCTCCAAGGCTGGCATTGTTCTTAACCCTCGTGCCAGCTGCACCGCATGCACCTGTCCGAAAGTTGTCAACGTGTTTCGGCCGTTCCAGAACCCCTCGGGGGACATCGGAGGACCTCAGGGGAGCCCGAAGGCCATGAGGGACTACGGCAGCTTTTGCGTACCCTCCGCAATATCTTGGCATCTCCACTCCCGCTCTTTGTCTCTCTCCACCTCTCGATCAACCATTCCCGCCGCATGGATAACCATGTGCCTAGGACCTCGCGGATTTCGGCAACCCCTGCACAGTACACCCCAGAAGCACCACGCAATTCCCGGCTAGGACAGGCAGGTACCCCCCGCAGAGAACCGCTTTTCGGCGAGAACCTCGTTTGGAAAAAGGGGGGGGAACTCAAAGAAGGCTCGCGACCAAAACGAAGGGAGATGGCGCTTCGAGCCTGGGAACAACGCCTCCCCAGGGGAGGGGCGACCAGCCAGAAAAATGACTGGTATTCACGCACTCCTTGAGATAGTTACCCGCTCTTCGGGGTGAGCCCCCCGCCTTTGGGACAGCTGTGCGGCGATCAGTGCAAGGCCCCAGCTGCGGCAGAGGCACGGACAGATTACTGCAGATTTACCTCCCCAGGACAGTCGACAACAAAGACAACGACGACGACGGCAACGACGACGACGACGACGACGACGACGACGACGACGACGACGGTGACGACGATGACGACGACGCCGACGCCGACGCCCCGACGCCGACGCCGACGCCGACGCCAACGCCGACGCCTACGCCGACGACGACGACGACGACGACGACGACGACGACGACGACGACGGTCGACGACGACGACGACGACGACGACGACGACGACGACGACGACGACGACGACGACGACGACGGTCGACGACGACGACGACGACGACGACGGCGATGGCACCTGCCTCCCCAGGACGAGATCCAGCGCCCAGCCTGAGGCCGCGGGCAGCTGCATGGGCAGGGCCGCTGGGCGACGTCGTGGCACCGCCCGCAGAAGGGACCCAGCGCCAGCGATAGTGCCGTGCCACCCCCGACACCTCGGTACTGTGGCCGGGGGCGCAGCGAGAAGAGAGCACGACATGTATGATTCCACGTCTGACACTGTGTAAAGATCACGCCGTGCAAACGCCCCAGTGATCTCAGAAAGAGCGCGTTCTGTGAACGATGGGGAAGGGGAGATCCGAACCGGGGTGGTGGGCCCCCCTGAGATACCAGGGGGGGAGGTTCGGGGGGGGGGGCCGAGGTGCAGGGGGGGGAGGGTCGAACCGGGAAGGGGGGAGCCCTCAAGACGGGGTCGAACCAGGCGGGGTCGCCCCCTCTCTGAATTACCAAGGGGGAGGGGAGGGGTTCGAGCTGGGACTGGGGGTTGTGCAAGGAAGCGGGGTTCGCACCGGTCCTCCACCCCCCCCCATCAATTGTAGGAGGGGCGGGGGTTCCAAGGGGGGGTCGGGGGAGCCCCTCTCTGAAGGGGGGGGGTCGAACCGAGAAGGGCCGAGGAACCCCACCGCAAATGGGGTGGTTCGAACCCGACAGTTGGGGGGGAACCCCCTGAATTGCCGGGGGGGGGGGCTCGAACCGAGGAGGGGCCTCCCCCTGCAACCTACCACCGAATACGGCGAGCGAGCGACGGCGCTGGCGCTGGCGCCAGCGCCATCGGGCAGCGACGACGACGACGACGACGACGGCGACAACGACGACGACGACGACGACGACGACGACGACGACGACGACGACGACGACGACGACGACGACGACGACGACGACGACGACGACGACGACGACGACCGCGACGGCGGCGGCGGCGGCGGCGGCGACGACGCTGGCGACGGCGGCGGACGGCGGGACATGAAATGCATGGTGCTCGCTTGCTCGCTCGCTCGTTCGCTCGGACAAGAGAGCGAGCGAGCGAAGGAAACGATCGATCGATCGTCGTCGTTGTCGTCGGCGTCGTCGTCGCCGTCGTCGTCGTCGCCTTGGCCCTCGCGTCTTAGTCGTCGTCGTCGTCGTCGTCGTCGTCGTCGTCTTGGTCGTCGTCGTCTTCGTCGTCGTCGTTTGCAGGGGGGCCCGCCCCTTCCCCGGTTCGAACCAGCCCCCTTGCAATTCAGGCCCCCCTGCCCTGAGAAAAGGGGGGCCGGTTCGAAACCACCCCGCCGTAGCGAACCAGGCCGAACCGGAATCGAACGCATGGCGAACTGGGCCGAACCGAGCGGCAATCCTCACAACGACGAAACGAATGGAACCGAACTGGCAAGTTCCGACACCGAACCGAATCGAACCGAACCGGACGCACTTCGGAACCTGACCGAACCGAAGCGAACCGGAACCTTCCTGCTTTTTCAGCGCATCCAAGGGAGGAATCGAACAGGGCAGGGCTGTTCAGTAATCGCCCAGGGCCATTTACTAAGCATTTTCTTTGGGTGGAGGGCTCAGGGTGAAATCCATATGGGCTTTTGCACCTCGAAAATCAATCCGTCTTGTGATTCACCTTTTGCAGGTTCAAGCCTCGAAAATCCATCGAAACACCATTTCAGATTTCACCCTTTGCCCTCCACCCAAATGAAAATGCTCAGTAAACGTTCATTGTCGGGGTCCGGGTGGACTTTCCTCCCTGATCTTGGCCGAGCGGAAGACAAGCTGCCCCCAGGACCACCCCCTGCCCCTCCCCCCGCCTCGCCGAGCCGACACCCTGGGCCTCTGACACCCTCAGGCTCTCAACGCGCGGAATCCTGGCACTCGCGACCCGACCTGCCGCGTGGACTCCGCGCCATCGTCGGCCGCTCATGGCCAGCCCCGCGGCCCACGACGGGCAGGCCCTGGCTGCAAGCACGCAGTCCTGCCAGCTGATCAGGACGCCAGGGTGCAGCGCGCCCGGGGGGAGAAAGGAAGCGGGGCCAGCCTTCTGAGAAGCCAGGGCCATTCTTGGAAACCCCCGTGCACCCACGAGGCCACCCCAGCGAGATGGCTCGTACCGCGTGCCTCTGAGCTGCGCCCAGCCGCATCCGACCCAGCCTCCCGGAGCGGCGCCCGGCCCGGAGCGGCGCCGAGGGCCGCGCTGGCGCGGTCGGGGTTGGCGCCCCGCGAGAGCAGAAGCTCGCACAGGCGGCGGCTGCTCTCCTCCGCGGCCCGCATCAGGGCGGTGATGCCCGTGCCTCCGCCGGCGGGCGGCGCCGGTGCCGACCACGGGCTGGCCCGCGGCGGCGGCGCGTCGGCGGACACGGGCGCGCCAGCGGCGGCGGCAGCGGCAGCCGTGCCCAGGATGCGGCGGCGCCGTGGCGGCAGCGGCGGCGCCGCGGCGCGGTGGCCACACACAGCGGGGGCAGCGGCGGCGGCGCGCCGCCGAGCGGGCAGCGACCTCTGCTGTGCCGCCCCTCCCTCGTGAGCACCCCGCCCGGTCTCGGGGGCGCGCAGGCACGAATTGGCGATCCATGGATTTGGCGCGCGGTCGCCAAGTCCATGGATCGGGGGAGGTGCCCTCACCAAAATGCGGCCCGTACCGCCTCGCTCGGGGGCAGAAAGCCGCAATTTCCCCTGAAAGCGAGACCCGTCGCTGATCCACGCCCCCCTGATCCTGGTTGGCGATCGCCTCACGGTCTGTCCACTCCTTGACCTCCTGCCCCCCCCTCTCCAATCCTCTCGCCTCCCCAGCCCTCCGGCCACCTCCACGCGATGACACCGCGCTCCGCGGGCCACCCCGCTTCGACGCACTGATGTCGTGATTGCCTCCCGGATCGCCCCGAGTTCCCTGGGGCCTCCCCTCGCACTCAATGCCACGAGGTCGAGGCAAGAGGCCCAAGTGCTCTACCTCTCATTACTCTGAGCTTTCTGATGGTGCCGTGCGCCTTCGTCCCGACGCGGGCCTTGAAGGTCCCTCTTAGACTAGTAGGTCCCGCAGGCTTGCCCGAGATGCGCGCTGACGTTAGAAGGAGCACATTGTCACGGCTACAGCTCTCACCCAGCAGTGGTGAGCCGACATAGCGGGAGACAGCCGCTGCCCAGGTCTTGCCGTGCTTTGCCACGGTCTGGCGCACCTTTTTTCCCCCCTTCCCCAGCTCCTGCCACCCCCATGCCCCAACTACTCTGAACCCGTTGCCTCCGTTTCCACGAGGGTGGCCTGGGCCCCGTCGCGCCCCCTTCCCCCTCCATCCTCCGTCCCCCGTTCCGCCCCCCCCCCCCGCCCCCAGATCCACCACCCGAGCCCACTTGCTCCCCCCCCCTTCTCTCCCTCCCCCTTCCCGTCCGAGCGCGGCCCAGAAACATCCGTGCGAGCCCTCCCAGGTTGGAGGGGGGAGGCGACGAGCACGAGGGCGCGGCAGGAAGGCTGGAGCAAAAGCGGATGGCGGAACCAACCCGCTTGGCTCGGCCGCTGCAGCAGGGGCAGACGTGCACCCATGGGGGGCGCCGATCCCCCAGTGCGCTCGTCGAGGCTCCACCACGGAGGGATGCGCGCAGCCCCCCTCCCGGCCCGTCCCGGTGGAATCGGTGGCGTGCCCGCGCGCCTGGCTGGGCCTCGTCCGCCGGCGCGCCGCGCGCCAGCGCCACGAAGGCCGCCTCGCACGCGGCAACCTCCCGCTGGGCGGCGCCCTTCTCGGCGTCCGCGTCGCAGCCGAATCGCAGCAGCGCGGTCCGCTGGCGCCGCTCCACAGCGGGCACGGGCCGTCACGACAAGGAGGACGAGGGGGAGAGAGGATGAGAACGACAGGGACGTCGAACCCATGACAGGAATCACCCGTCCCTCGCTCTCTGTCCCAACTCAGCTTCCTTCCACTCCTCCTCACTAAGGCGTCCTCCTCCTCCTCCCCCCTCCTCCTCCTCCTCCTCCTCTCCTCCTCCCCCTCCTCCTCCTCCGCCTCCTCCTCCTCCTCCTCCTCCTCCTTATCCTCATCCTCCTCCTCCATCCCTCCTCCCTGTACATAACTCTTCCATGTCGCACCCCCAGATGTGCTGGTAGGGCGGCCCTGGCGTTTCGTCTCAGAATTCCCGACTACTTACGATCCGGTAGCCTGAAGTTCGCAACAGCTTCACGGGAGGAGGGCGGAACGTTTTCATAGTGGTGCTCTCGCCTTAGCACCGCGCACACTCGTCTTGAAAGACTGCAGCAGTTCAAGAGATGGAGGGGCGGCCTTTTCAAAAGAGGACTCTCGCCTTCGCGCTTCGCGCCGCGCACAGTCGTCTCAAAAGTTCGCAGCTGCGCCCACGATGGGGTGCGGCTCCTTCTCAAAAGGTGGCCCTCACCTCGGCGCCACGCACGTTCGCCTGAAGAGTCTGCCAAGGTTTGAAGGATGGAGGGCGGGTCGTCTCCGAAAGTGGGGCTCTGGCCGTAGCGCCGCACACACTCGTCATCAGGGTGTGCAAAGGCGCGTCATGGATGGAGGGCGCATGATCTTCAACATTGGGGGTCTCGCCTTCGCGCCGCGCACACTTGTCTTAAACGCTTGCAGCTTGTGCAGGGATGGAGCACAGGTCGTTTTCAAGATGGGGTTCACGCCCACACGCCGCTCGCATCCGATCTCCAAGTCTGCAACAGATACACAGATGGCGCACGAATCGTTTTCGAAATAGAACTCTCGCTGGAAGCTTCCTCAACGGCTCGAGGGCAGCTCCGTCTCAAGATGCTTTCGATTGAAACTTCCTCGAACTTCGTGGCCACAAGCGCAATGTTCTGCACCAGCTACACAAGAGACAGGGGGCGGTCCTTTTCCGAAAAGTGGATCACGCTCCCTCTTTCACCGATTGACCCAGGAGGCCCCTCAGGCCCCCCCAAGCGAGCCCAGCCCGAGAGGGCCCCAAGAGAGCCCCAAGAGAGCCCCGAAGGCCTCCAAAATATATGAAACATGACCCCGCGATGGTCCCAAGCTGCCTCCAAGAGACTGCCAGAGCGTGACTGCATGCTGCTACACATCCCTGATCAGGGCAACTCGCCTGGTGATTGAATTGGATGGGCTGGTGGGGATACAGCCATCGTTATACATGCGCAACATAAAAATATACATACGCAAATAAAGCTAAAGCTCTCCGCAACGGAAATCCGCCGACCCCCTTTGGGGCAACAAGCTGCAGGGATCAGGTTTCCTGTAAGGTGTACCAGGTGCAGTCTCCAGCTTCCAATGTGTAGGTACTGGCTACGCGCCCTACTGAAAATGTTTTGCTGTCCGCACGAGAGGGTGGACTGGAACCGCCCTAGCCACCACCCAGGAATGGCGTATTCTGAGTCCAGGGCGGGTTCTGGGACACGCGATGATACCAGCCGGTCGGACGAAGTAGATAGAAACTGTAAGTAGGGAGGCGTTGAAAATAGATCTGGTTTCCGCCCGCCCCCTGAGAGGACGGAAGAGGTGAGGCCACTCGATCATTGAAGTAGGAAGGCGCTTAAAATAGATTGGAATATGTGATTTCAAGAACACCTACTTTCAACGACCGATGGGTACACGAGGTTCGCGTCCCGGAGGCCATAACCCTGAAGGGATAACTCCAGGTGCGCGCCCCCGCCGCCACAACCCATCGTAGACTACGTTAGGCTCGCGCCCGCGAGGCAATAACCCTTCGTAAATGACGCTGGGTACGCGCTCTCGAGACCACGATCGCTCGGAAAGTACACCAGACTCGCGCCCCCGAGGCAAGAATTATTAGTAAATTGCTCCAGACTCGCGCCCCCGAGGCCACGAGCCCGCGCAGGCCACCCAGACTCGCGCCCCCGAGCCCACGATCCTTTGCAAATCGCGCCACATTCGCGCCCCCGACGCCACGTTTCCTTCGAATTGCCCCAGATTCATGCCCTGAGGCCCTAAACCTTGGCAGATTACACCAATTTCGCGCCCACGACATTACGATTGATTTTACACTACACCTGAGTCACGCCCCCCAGGCCACAATCTATGACGAATTAGGCAGAACTCGCGCCTCCGAGGCCTCGAAGCTTCACGAAGTGCGGCAGGCGCGCGCCCCCCAAGCCACCCCGCGCTGGCTGCCCCAGAGAATCGCTTCTCAGGCTACGAGCCCACCCCGCGGAAGCTGCCCAAAATCGCCACCCCCCGCCCCAGAGCGGGAAACATAGGATATTCTGTGGTGGGGCGTCTGCTCGGGGGGCGTTTTCTCGACCCCCCCGCCATTTCCTGAGAACTCTGCGCTGACCCTCGGCCGCGAGCCCCCGACCATACCGAAGACTGCCAGACACTCAAAGACAGTCCACGCCGCGCAGTCTTCCCAAGATGGCCTTAAACCGCCCCCATTCGTTCCAGAGGGTTGCTTACACGCAACATTAGGGAATCGCTTTGAAAGGCAACATGTGTTGTTGATTCCCGGCCACCCTCGCATGATGTTGCCAGATGACTTCAAAACGGCACCATGGAATCCCAATATAGCTCTGATAGATCCCGTTATGGTAGAGAGGGAGCCGGCGGCACATGGCCAAGCCCTCCCGGGTACATGCGCAATTCCCCCATCAACAAATCGATGTGAAAACCAATTCACATACAAGTGCAAGTTCGCCACCAAAACACACGGCTTGAACCTTTACTAAACCCTGTAGAACCTTTCTCGGCGTGAACAGAAAGCGCGTTGAAAGCCAAGAACTCGGCAAGAACGCGCAGCAACATCACCGTCGAATGTAATGTAGAAGAATTCCCTGGACGTCCACAAAATATACCTCTGCACCGTTGTTCGCCGAATATTAACAACCCTGCCCAAGATTAGTGTCCTCACTCCGCTGTGCGCCTCACGTGTGTTCGGCCTCCCCCTCCACTTCAACCATCATGTTTACCGTCGTCACCATCACCTGCATCGCCATCACCATGCTCATCATAATCAACAGCATCATCAGCAGAAGCACCATCAGCAGCAGAATCGCGGTCGAAGACCCGTCCGAACGCATATGTTGAGGGCGTGTTGAACGAAAAAGGCTGACGCTTGAACACACGATGGTTGAAGATTGGGATTTTCTATCTTACTTCGAATTTCCTTATGTCTTAAGGGTCCTCTGAGAAGGAACGGGGAAGCCATCGACAAACACTTTGTCGGACATCTCATTTGCTTGAGGATATCTCCAGCAAGAGCCTCCTGATCAAAGATATGGCGCCTATGCCAGCGATTTCAGCATATCCATGTTGTGAGGATGCCTTAGGCGAAACGCTCAGTGTAAGCATACGACGTCTTAAACGACAGCCTCCACCATATCGATGTTTCGGGGATTAATCTGGCGAAACTACGCTATCAAACCTCCATGACATGAAGAACAGGAAGCGCGTGAAAACAGTGACGTGCGCAAAAACGCAAAGCGTAACCACGGTAAAATGTAATACAGGGTAACCACCAGAAGGTGCACAACGGATTCCTACGGACACGCGCTCCCAGAAATTGCACAATTAGCTTCGGAATCTCTTCTCGCTCCCGCGCACCCCAGATATCCTCCGCGCCCCCCTCACTTGCATTATCTTTACTCTCAGCATGGCCACCATGACCTCTTGGAAGATACGCCCGCTCAAACACAAGACGTCTTACACGATAGCCTCCCACATCGCGCTTTGCAACGATGTCTCAGGCGCAACGCTCATTCGCCAAACCTCCCAAGCCTGTTAACAACGTCAATCGCGCGACCCTTCGAGTCTAAGCGCGCTTCTTCCCTGGCACCGCAAGCCTGGGCCAACTCCCGCGAGCCTTCGCATGGCCCGCCACACAGGGGGGCCCGCGCGCGCGCACGCGCAAGACCAAACACACGAGGCGACCACCCCCCGGCGGCGAGCTTCGCACGTCAGCTCCCAGCCCTCTGGCCGCAAAGCTGGCGGCAAGCCGAAACTACGCGCGACATCCGAGAAATCGCGAGGCGCGCAATCCTCAAAACTTCGCGGGCGCACAGCGCGGAGAGGCGCCGAGCACCTGACTCGGCCCCACTACTTCTTTGCACTTACGATACCCACTGCCTCAGTTTGATGGCAAGCTCCTCGGTCGAACGAGCGGCCGTGGAGCGGGGGGAGCGGCTGCGGCCTGGAACGACGCACTCACGGGGGCCAGCGCGTCATCCGAAGCCCACATTCTCCTTCGCTGATTCCGCCTCGGCAAGCGCGACCTCGCCCGCGCAGTGGCCAAAAAGCACGACGTTCTTCTGGACGGCCAGGCGGGCGCGGAAGTGCGCGGCCCGCAGCGCCGCGACGGGGTTCTTGCCTGGGAGGTACCCAAGGCGGGTCGCTCCCCCCCTCGGCCTCGGCTCCGGCGGTCTGGCCGTCGGCTCTGTGCGAGTTGAGGGCTCGGCCCTCGTTCGGCATCGCCTTGCGCTCGGCCGCCCTTTCGCCGCCGGCGCTCTTCTGCAACAGGAACCCGCGCGGGAGCGCGCGCGCGCGCCGATCTGGGCCCTCTAGCACAGGGGCCCCATTCACTGCAAAGAAATGGGACAGCCGTGACATTCCACCACGCGAGGCGCGACGTCAGCGCCGCACCCCGCGCAGCGCGGATGTCCATCCAACAGCCAACCCACTCCGCAGCGGCCGTGCCCCGCTGAACGCCGCAGCTCCAAAATTGCAACATCGATGAGCAGAAATGCCCGCTTGCGAGCCTGGGCTTCACGCTCAACATCCGCGCGCGGTCTGCCGCCAGCGCCGTTGACTGCGGCAATGAAATCGACCCACTTCACCTCCCGGCCGTCGGGGTCGCGCCATCTGGCACCCAGCCCACGAGCGTTGCCGAGAGTGCCGGGGGCCCTCAGACAGTGTAGTGCGACTGCTTTAAACAGCCGATGGCCGCGGTCCGCCCATCCAGGTACCCGGCCGCCGCGCGCGTTCGCCTTGCCGCCCACGGGGCGGGGGCTGAGCCACGCCGCCACTGCACACCGCGAAGGGGCGCAGCTCAGCGGCCCGCCGACGCAATCGAAGGACCCGCCCCTGTCGCGCCTGCGCGCTGCAGCGAACCGTGGAAGCTGACCACAAGAGCGCAGTCACCCAGCGCGTAGAATCGGAAGAGTTGCCACGAGCGACTCGGAGCCCCAGTGACCACGCCCGACTGCCACATGGGATGACCTTCGACTTCCTGCGAAGCCGTCCTTGCGACAGCGAGACGAGCGCGGCGACGGGGCAACGAGGCGCTCGCCCCCCACTGGCGCTGAACAGACAACGTCACGCCCGGGGGGGGCCAAAACGTCGACCCGAACAGCAGCAGCAGCACATCGGAAAACTTCGTCGGGACGTCCAGGGATAAGGAATACCTCCGCTTTGCATGCAGGACCGAACTTTGCGAAACCCACGCCTCGTGCTGATGCGCAACTGCGCGGGGGGACGTGATGGGGAGCGGATGACATCACTGCGCGCATCCGATCTTAACGCTTCGCCACTGCGCCCCGCCCCTCGCCGAGGTCGCCCAGGAACCGCGCTCGCCCTCCGGGTAGAATTGCGCAGAAGGCGCTGCGGTTACACTTGGCGCTGCGCGCTATCCCGTCGCGGTGATTCTAATTATTGGAACTCTCGAGACTCAGAAGATCGCACCGCACCGCAGCGCCCGGCTCTCAAGCGCGACGATACCAGCTCTAAGCTTACATCGCGTCATCCGCCACGTCGCCGCGGAGGAGCCACCCCGCAACCACTCACCCCCTTCGACGGCCCCACTTGATAACGCTTCCCCCTCCCAGGCCCGCGCACGCGGGCCGTTAAACAACGCAAATCGCGCAACGCTTCGGGTCTAAGCGCGCTGTTTTTTTTTTGAAATCGCAACCCCACTCTAAGAGGTCTCGCGAGCTCCCACATAACCAGCCACAGGGCCGACTAGCGCGTGCGCGCGCCCGCAGACGTCACATGCGAGGATACCACCCACTGGTGGAAGGCCCGCACGACAGAACACGGCCCTCTCGCCGAGCGCTGGTGGCAGGCCGTGGGTTCAAACGGTGCAACGCGCAGCGTGCAGGATATGCATAAAACAGCGCCACAAGAGCCGCCCTTACCAGCAAAAGTGAAGTCGGCAACGCTCGACGCGGGATGCAGAGAGGCGGCAGACAGTCAGGTCGACCACCTGCCTGCGGCTGCAGGCCGAGCCAAACTCAAAGTCACCAAGTAGCGGGCCTAGGAATTGAGACAGAGAAGACAAGCACAAGCGTTGGAAAAAAAAAGAAATGAACAAAATGATGGTCGGCTCATCACTTGGCACGGCTGCAGCGTAGGACGTTGCGGGTCGCCGCAGCCCACGGAGTCAAGCGCCCGCTCACGCGTACCCTGAGATCACTGAACTGTGAGCCGTAGTCCGCCGTGAACCAGCGCAGGTTGACCGAATTGAAGCCGCACCACCGAGACGAGTAAGTGTCCCATATTTGCCACCTTGTGAACTCGATCCGAGCCTTCCGATACAGTGTAGACCTCTCGTGACATGGTCTGGAGATCCACGTCGTCGAGGAAGCACTTAGTGCGCGCCGACTGGCGCCGCTAAGCAGGTACAATCACAGCGGGAACAAGAGTAGAAGCCATCTGCAAAGGACTCCAGCCAAACGTCCGCACTGGGGCACCACCGTGGCGAGTACATTGTCCCACGTAGCAAGAAAGATTGGACACCGACCCGTGCACCAGAGCCCATCCTTTCGTTTGTGTCGCACCGCAAGATGGATCCACGAAGCATAGTTTTGCCACAACGTCCTGGTCTTCCGAAAGAAGGGCCCTGACCCATGGCCACCCCCTGGCGGCCAGGGGCCGGCTGGCGGGGTGATAGCTCCTCATGATGTGCACTGGCTCGCTCCCGTCATAAGTGACATCCGACGAAACGGAGTTCCACGGTGGTCGTGCCGCCACCGAACGCTCCCTAAGCGCGCTTCCCGTCATCCAGCACGTCGCGCATCACGGAGAAAATCCGCCACCACCCCCACCTGGCCACCCCACTTGAGAAAAACAACGTCCGTCGCGGAATTATTCGAGCACTGACGCGCTTCCCATCACTCTAGTGCCTCCGTTGTGCTGCATATATCCTGCATGTTGTTACGGATGCCCTGCCAAATTCCAACGTTCACGCATACTATTCTGTGGCGTGCGCACGAGGGCTGTTATTGTAAACCCTCCGCCGAAAACGGGTTAGCGTATACCCACACGAAGGGAACCGACGTGCTACGAATGCTACTACGACAACTGATGCTACCACTGCTGGTACTTCTACTGCTACATGTACTGCTCTCTCGAGAACAGGGAAGCTTCCACAAGATACACAACCCTGAAACCCCAGGACGTCCATGGATTCTTGGTGTGGGAACGTCACGCTTTCCATAGCAAACCCATCCAAGAAGCCAAGGGCAACCTGGTGTGTCTTGGCAGGGGTTTCCATTGTGGTGATGTTACTGTGTCTTCTCCTGCTCCTCCTCGTCCTCCTTCTTCCAATAATCATCATCATCATCATCATCATCATCATCATCATCATCATCATCATCATCATCATCATCATCAGAATCATCAGAATCATCAGAATCAGCATCATCATCAACAACATCATCATTGACATCATCACCACCATCATAATAGTAATTGGCCTCATCATCATCATCATCATCATCATCATCATCATCATCATCATCATCATCATCATCATCATCCCATTCCTGTGCAGAATCTTAATCCTCGCACTCTCGCTTGCCGATCTCTCCCGCAAGACACAACAGGGCAAAATATTCGGGCCTGGCACTGACGGTTCTGGCACAATCGATGCTGGCGTTCAGGCGTAAGACACCGCAGCACGGGAGACACCATGGCATGGGGCGCGGCGCCCGAGACTCGCCCGATCCCTTCCCAAACACAGTCGCCACAGCACAACAGAGACTGTCACGCTCGCGGCACAGCGAACACTCGCCTCTGCGCCCTGCCTCGCGAGATCGTCGGCCCTGTGGCAGCAGGAACTGGCGAAGCCCAGAGGACGCCCACCACTTCGTGCAGCGAGCCGCCAGCCGGTAGCGGTGCTGCCGCGGCCAGCGTGCGGACCTGGGCGCAAGGGTGGGGCAGCAAGAGCCCTATTTGTCCAGGTGATCGCAAATCTCCCATTAGTTATTTGGAGCCGTCAAAAGGAGACACGGAAAGGGAAGCCTGGCGTGCGACGAACGCACGACGACGACGAAAATCAGAGGCTCCGGACTCCAGAACACATCTGCCCAAGAAAGCATGCCATGCCACTCCCCCTCCTCGAAGTCCTGGCGTCGGGAGGAGCACCCAGCATACTGACCCAGCCGCCCAGCCAAAGGGGAGGCTGGCGACAGGCACAAGGGCCAGAAGATGTCGTCCGTGCCAGAACTCCCGGCGTCGTGAATCTTTCACAGCGTGGACCCCTCCGGCCAGGTCTGAACCGATTCCCCCAGAGCAGGTCTTCATCCTGAGTCGTTTTTTTCGACGGCCCCGTGGCCCAAGAAGGACCCCCGGAGACCGAAGACTGACAAAATCTGTCCGTCGTGAGTCTTCTGCTTCGAGGGGAGACGGGGGCTCCAGGCGTATCTGCAACATCGACGTGGCTCCCACCATTCACCATCCCTCCCCCCCCACTCGGGGGCCACAGCAGGGGGGGCTGGTGGCGCAGTGGGAAGCGCGGCACGCGTCCTCGGGCCCCAACCACCAGGCTGCTTGATGAGGCTCGGGGACACCGTCAGCTGCCCATCGCTCGGAAGGTGTGGGAAGAAGACTGAAGTAGGAAGGCGTTGCAAAGTACACGGGGGGTCCGCCCGCCTCTTGAAAAGAGAGGAAGAGAGAAAGCATTCCCTTCTTGAGATACCGGAGAAGATCAGCCAGAGAAGACTAGAGCGGAGCCTGCGAGTCCGAGAACGCCTGCCTTCCACCAACGGTGGGCCGGGCCGCAGCGTCTGGCGCACCTCCCCGTCTCGCCGGGCCACTTGTTTGATCTGCAGGGCGAGAGCGAACCTCTTCCGCTGAAAGCTACGCGGGACGCGCACAGCTTCACTTGGCAGAGAAAGGGCGGGAGAAGCTCGCCGGGCCACAGGCAGGGGCTGGAGCTCTGCGGTGGGGCGCGAGGCCCACGGCCAGCAGGGCCCCTCTCCCGCGCTCCCAGCTGCGGCCACGGGGACCGGGGGGGCGAGGCCCGAGCCTCATGATGGACACGGGACCCGGGTCACCAAGCTTCGCGCATCGCGCCTCGCGTTAGGTGGGGCATGTCCTCCTACAGGGGCATTTTGAACGAAAATGAAAAATTCAAAAAATGACCAAAAATTGTCAAAACATGTTTTGGCATTTTCTGATACCGTTGAACATTGGCCACTTATGAGTTTCCCTCCTGTGGAGGGACACGCCCTACTTAAGCCTCGCGATGCGCGACGCGCGGTTGTCTTCGCGCCCTCGCGAGGTCCCCTCTGGAGGAGGACAACCGCTCCGGCCCAGGCCGGGACGCTCGAAGCGCGACTGCCTTCGCGCCCCTGGGGGGGGGGGACCTCAAGTCGGGCCTGTCCCTCCACAGGAGGAATAATATTCAAAAATAGTCAAGAAATAGCCTGGGCACGATTTTTGACTATCTCTGACCATGCTTGAAAATTTGTTGACTACGTCTGACCATTTTTGAACATTGCTTCCTCTTTTTGATTTTTCCTCCAAAATCATGCCGTGACCTGGCTCGGCGGCGCGCCGAGGGGGCAAGGCGGAGGGGGCAAGCCTTTGAGGCCGCGCAGCGAAGCCCCGCCGCCTTCTGAGAATACCTGCCCCCTCTCACTTGCCCCGTCGGCGCCCCGCCGGCCAATGCTCGACGCGGGACTTTGGACGCCCGAAACGGGTACCGAAAGAAGGGGTACAATGCCCAACAGCAGATGTTGTCCCGAACCAACAGCGGCCGCTGTTGGGCGGGCGGCTTTCTGTCTCGAATGGACACAGGCCGCGGCGACGCGGACAGCGAGTCCTGTTCAAAATGAACAGGAACTGCTGTTGGGCATTGTACCCATTCTTTTCGTGCCCATTTCGTTCGTACAGACGAACCTGCGGTGGTCCGCCTTGGACGACGACAAGCCGGCGAGGGTTACAAAATCAACGTCGAACTCTGCCGGGCCCTGTGAGGGCGCAGGAAAGCGGCGGAGGCTCTCATGTGTGAGTTCGGCGGCACCCACGAAGGGCGAATGGCAAAACGGGCAAGCGACAGAATTCGCGAGAGGCGTGCTGGAATCTCTGGTAACTGGTAAACAGTACTTCCAGCTCGCGCGCGCGGGGCGGCTCCTGGGGGTCCGCGGCCAAAAAGCACCCCGAGCAGGTTCCGGGCAGGTCCCGGGGGCTCCCAGCTTCGCGCTTCGCGCTGCGCGAAGCGCGAAGTGCGAATAACTTCGCGCTCTCGCGCCGCCTCCCAGGGGAGAAGAGGAGGATGAGGAATCGGAGCCGAACCGCGAAGCGCGAAGCGCGAATAACTTCGCGCCCTCGAGGGCGCCCTTGGTCCCAGGCAAGTTCCCATGAGAGATGGTTCTGCTCCTGGGCGCCGCCCTCAGGGCCTCCCAAGAGCCCCAAGAACGGCCCAGAGGCCGCCCAAAAGACCTCCGGGACATGAAGAGATCGCTCCAGGGCGCCCGAGATGGCCCCCAGGCAGCCCAAGAGGCCTCCCAGAGCACTCCCCAGAGGGCCCCAAGAGGCAAAGTTAATCGATTTCCCTTCGGTTGTTGATGGATTTGGGCGCTCTCGCCTTTTCGGCTTCCCGACGCTCCAAGACAGCCCAAGAGGCCTCCGAGATCGCCCCAAAACGGCCCAAGAGGCCCCAAAGGGGGCCCAAGAACGGCCCAAGAAGGCTCCAAGACGACCCAAGACGTTTCCCAGACGGCCCAAGAGAGCCCCAAGACGGCCTCACGTGATTAGAAGGGACCCAGAGGGGAAACTTTAACGGAAATTCCAGCTCTCGGCCCCAAGGGGCGCCAGGGAGGCTCCAAGAGGCCCCCAAGGAAGCCAAGGAGGCCCCCTGGAGGTCCCACGAGGCCCCCAAGAGGACCAAAACGAGGCCCCAAGAGGCCCCCAAACGGCCCCCAAGAGGCCCCAAGAGGCATCGAGAGGCCACGAATGCGCACGCAAACGCCTGCGATGGCACAATACGGGCCGGCGGAATGAGCGAAGCGATCCGCCGCAACACCACAAACGGCGTGTGAGATCCACAGCATGGTCTTCAATAGTGCTTTGTGTAAGTCTTCTCGCCAGCGCACTTTTCATACCTACCCCTGCCTCTGAGCCATCGCAACCCCTCCTAGGGTCCTCCCCGCGCCTCGTTCATTCCGCCGGCCCGGGGGCCCCAGATGCGGCCGGGGCGCCTTCTGGCCGCCATTCCCGTCCCAAGACGACCCCCCTTTCACGTGCTAGCCTTACAGGCGCCACCAGGCGCTCTCAGAGACCTCTCCAGGAGCCCACTGGGCCGGCTTTTGGGGCCTCCTGAGGCTCTCCTGGGCTCATTTTCACCCTCCTTCAGGCCACTTTGAGCCGCTTCAAATGCCGTTCCACCTCTTCTCGAGCCACATACACCAGAACACCCCAACAAGCAAAAACATCGTAAAAACACATGGGATGCTGATGATTGTGGCCTTCTCGCACTTCTCCTTGCGCCTCTCTCGGAGCTGCCGTTCATCTCCGCTGGCTCTTGCGGCCATCTTGGAACCCGGGCATGCTCTCTACGACCTTCCTGACAGCCTGTCGATCCAACTTGGGCCGTCTGGCCGCCTTCTTGTCACCGTATTTCCAAGAACTCCCAGCTTCGCGCTTCGCGCTGCGCGAAGCGCGAAGTGCGAATAACTTCGCGCTCTCGCGCCGCCTCCCAGGGGAGAAGAGGAGGATGAGGAATCGGAGCCGAACCGCGAAGCGCGAAGCGCGAATAACTTCGCGCCCTCGAGGGCGCCCTTGGTCCCAGGCAAGTTCCCATGAGAGATGGTTCTGCTCCTGGGCGCCGCCCTCAGGGCCTCCCAAGATCCCCAAGAACGGCCCAGAGGCCGCCCAAAAGACCTCCGGGACATGAAGAGATCGCTCCAGGGCGCCCGAGATGGCCCCCAGGCAGCCCAAGAGGCCTCCCAGAGCACTCCCCAGAGGGCCCCAAGAGGCAAAGTTAATCGATTTCCCTTCGGTTGTTGATGGATTTGGGCGCTCTCGCCTTTTCGGCTTCCCGACGCTCCAAGACAGCCCAAGAGGCCTCCGAGATCGCCCCAAAACGGCCCAAGAGGCCCCAAAGGGGGCCCAAGAACGGCCCAAGAGGGCTCCAAGACGACCCAAGACGTTTCCCAGACGGCCCAAAAGAGCCCCAAGACGGCCTCACGTGATTAGAGGGGACCCAGAGGGGAAACTTTAACGGAAATTCCAGCTCTCGGCCCCAAGGGGCGCCAAGGAGGCTCCAAGAGGCCCCCAAGGAAGCCAAGGAGGCCCCCTGGAGGTCCCACGAGGCCCCCAAGAGGACCAAAACGAGGCCCCAAGAGGCCCCCAAACGGCCCCCAAGAGGCCCCAAGAGGCATCGAGAGGCCACGAACGTGCACGCAAACGCCTGCGATGGCACAATACGGGCCGGCGGAATGAGCGAAGCGATCCGCCGCACCACCACGTACGGCGTGTGAGATCCACAGCATGGTCTTCAATAAAGCTTTGTGTAAGTCTTCTCGCCAGCGCACTTGTCATACCTATCCCTGCCTCTGAGCCATCGCAACCCCTCCTAGGGTCCTCCCCGCGCCTCGTTCATTCCGCCGGCCCGGGGGCCCCAGATGCGGCCAGGGCGCCTTCTGGCCGCCATTCCCGTCCCAAGACGACCCCCCTTTCACGTGCTAGCCTTCCAGGCGCCACCAGGCGCTCTCAGAGACCTCTCCAGGAGCCCAATGGGCCGGCTTTCGGGGCCTCCTGAGGCTCTCCTGGGCTCATTTTCACCCTCCTTCAGACCTCTTTGAGCCGCTTCAAATGCCGTTCCACCTCTTCTCGAGCCACATACACCAGAACACCCCAACAAGCAAAAAACATCGTAAAATAAATGGGATGCTGATGATTGTGGCCTTCTCGCA